ACGCGCACGCGCACGCACACACAGTAGCTCGCCGCTGGCCAATAAGAGAGATCGCGATGAAAACATTGTGTGAATATGCGATATCTATCTAAAGATTTCTGACAGCTTGGCAGCCGTCCCGACAGTCGTCGCGACTCGCGCGCAAGGAAAATCGAGGCACTTTTCCGGCCGCATTTGGTCGCCCCGAGATAGACGGAAACGCCGACGCGTGATTAATAACAATCGAGACGCGGCCTCGAGTGTGTATGTGCGAGCGGGAGGAACACGGGTATGATGAAGGAGGAGCGGGCAGCGCGCAGCGCGGAACTGCGGAAAAGATTTCTGTCCGATTATCCGGCCGCTTTCGCCGCAATCCCCCGGCAAAATTGCGCCGTTTCAGATGCAAATTTCAGCGAATTTGTTTATCATCGGCCGGGCCAGCTCCTTGATGTTTCTCGGAGGAGGGAGAATTAAGCGCCACTCAAATATCAAATATTAGATCCGCGAGCGAGCGGCGAAAACGACGAGCGGCCGAGGCGGCCGGCAAACCGAGCGCGAGCGAGAGCGAGAATAAAGCGAGAACGCTAGAATAAAAGCAAGATCCTTGGGTCCATTGACGAACGGACAGTTTCAACAAAAATTCGCCCCCGAGTCTCGATCAAATTCCCCGAGCACACATACTCGCGACATCCCCAGGTGGGAAAAAGTTGAAGTCTCGAGAACTCCGATTTCTCCGAGCGGGAGCAATAGAGGAGACGCCCCCCACACCCCCATCCCCCTCCTCCAGCGTCTCTAGCGAGCGAGTTAACGCGAATAATACGACGGTGTCGTTAACATCCCTAACGATCAAAGGACAAATCGGCGAAGCGGTCGTTTCGCAAAATCCCTTCTGGGTATCGTCGCCGCGCGACGCGATCGAGAAAGGGAGAGAGAAAGAGAAGCGCGACGACGACAGAGCGACCACGCACACCGATGTGCATCCTCCTCTCCCTCCCGACCACCCCCCGCCCGCCGCCTTTCCTCTTAGCGGAATCACGAGCGCCGCACGGACGTGTTGCTAAGAAATTAGATTCCGCGACCTGCGCGCGCGTTGCATGCTGTTTATATTTCGGCGCCGGGTATATCCGGTCAGCGCGACGTGATCGGCGGACGCGAGCGCGACCGCGTTTTGTGCATGTCGACGACCGCGGCTCGTCCCTACAGGGTGTCTCGGAATAGACGGAGAGCGCACAGAGACGCGCGTTATTTGCGCGCGCGCCTGCTGCCTCGCTCGCTCGCGCAAAACGTTGCGCGCGAGATCGATCTTCGTCGCGGCGATCGTCGCCCGTCACAGGGAGACGACGACAATGACCTTTGCACGAGCTCCGCGAGTCGATCGGGAGCGAAGGGTGGGCCGGGAAGAAGCGCGCGCTTCCCGACCCACGAAGGTGACGACCAAAACGACGTCGACGAGAAAAATCGCGGGATGTTATTCTCGATGTTTTCGTTACCGAGCTCAGTCTCTTTAACGGTATTTTAATTTCGCGGTTCGGTCATTACCCAGAAACGCCGAGTTTTCGGATTCGAAAACGGATTCGCCGGAAAAGCACGCGCCCGCGCGCGCGCGCGCGTGAAACGCAATGACCTCCTTCGACACGCTCGTCTCCGTGAGCTCCTGGGGAAAGGATCCGGCTGCAAATTTGACAGGAAACCGCGTTACGTGTCTGTCCACTTTCCGTTCGCCGATTCTGGGCCATCTCCGCTTTATGCTTCTGCTCTTTTCAGCTTTGTACACCTCCCCGCGCGATTTGGACTCTTTCCTGTTTCTTCGGCGAAGTTGCACGCGCACACACACACACACACACACATACAAACACACGTACACACAGGTGCACAGACGCATGTGCACACACATACACATGGCTCTCTTTGAGCGCGCAAAAAGCGCGGTGAAATACGGTTAAGAAGAACAGACCCCGAGCCGACTCTCGCGTTGTGAGAGACCCGAGAAATGTCAGAGAGGCGGCTGGGAGGAAGAGAAAGAGATACAGAGAAAGGAGGGGGGGGAGAGAGAGATAGAGAGAGAGAGAGAGAGAGAGAGAGGCAGACTCGATAAATAAATTTGACAAATTCGATTAAAATGGATGTAACGTGCTTTCGCACACGCACAAACGCAGACATTGTACACAGATCTACATATCTGAAAAGCAGTAGACCGGATTACAAACACACGCACGCACACATACACACACACACACACACACACACGTGCGTACTCACATACGGCCTCCTGAGACGCGCGCATACCGACTTTTCCGCGAGGTATTTTCATACTTTAATTATTCATACATCACATACATGTGTGTGTATATATGTGCGCGCGCGTAAAACCGAGCGTATATTTGCGACGCGGTGGGTGCGTAACATTTCACGTGCGGTCGTGGAAGAACAACCATGTGCGCGCCCGTATGCCAATAACTTTTCGCAATTTGCAACTCATGAAGGAAGTTATAAAAATAGCGGCCGCAGAAACGGATTATACACGCGCGGCCGAGGCTGCGCTCGAACGCAGTATCGCGTCCGCAGCCTCCTCGTCTCGCTCGTTAACGCGCGTGTCTTCAGCTGCGAGCGCCGGTAAATAGAGGCGCAACAACAATCGCTTTATCCGTTCGTCTCGCCAGAACGGGGAGGTGGTCCTTCCTCTCGAAGAAAAAAAAAAAAAAAAAAAAAAGAAAAAATTCCCCCGACGAGAATTTCGCATACACGCGTCTCTTTAATCTTCCATCAATCGCGAGCTCCAATTTCCGTTGTCTCAATGTCGAGCGAATACGGATGCATCGTGTGCAGCGAGCGACGCGTGGCGCACACATCGAGGTGCCGCCGAATTAATAAATGTTCCTTCGGCGCCCGAGAGCGCATTTCCAGCAGCCGCCGCCGCCGCCGCTGCCGTCGTCGTCGTCGTCATCGCTGTGCGCCGTGCACGCATTTTACAAAGTACATACGCGCACGCACACACACGCGCGCGCGCGCGCGCATACAAGTGCAACAATACGATATGTAAACATTGCATGTTGCATGTATATACATCGGATCAGATAACGTTTTCCCGACGTACAACGTGCGATACCGCGGGCACACACGCGCGCACGGAATCGCCTAATCCAAACTCAACGCGGGGCGACGAGTCGCCGTTACGACAAAGAGACACGGTTCATTGTCACCGTCGCGCGGCCCCATCCCCGCAACCCCCCTACCAGCCGATATGTATCGTCCAGATCCAGACGCGCTTTTTCTCCGCGAGCCCGTCAAGCGACAAAAGATCCGCGTCGTGACGCGAATAAAGGCGAGTTGAGTGAGCGAGAGAGAGAGAGCGAGAGCGAGAGCGAGAGAGAGAGAGAGAGAGAGAGAGAGAGGGAACACGTTTTCCCAGCGCGCGCTATATCTAATCTGGCTGACGAGATAACGAGGAGGCACAGTACGGCGCGAAAACACGGTCCATTCACAGCTTCTTACTTATCTCGTTTGGCACTCCGGGGTCCTCACTGTTATCGCAAAGACACGGCACGCGCGGCCGCTTGTTTACGCGCCCGCGACGCAACGCGAAGCGGAGCGACGCGTGCGTTCGGTATCTTTCAGAGAGATGAGAGATATATAGATAGGTAGGTAGGTAGGTAGATAGATAGATAGATAGATAGATAGATAGATAGATAGATAGATAGATAGAGAGAGAGAGAGAGAGAGAAAAGTGGAGGAGAAAGGGAGAAAGAGAGAGAGTGCGTCGTTCGCCGACGAGATCGACGTCCGGGAACGCGCGCAAAGAACGCGGGTCGTCGCGACGACGACAAGGATGATGGTGGCGGCTGTCGTCGTCGAACTTCCGGTTGCCGCGAGATTCGCAGAGTCGATTCGTCAGCGCACGGTCGCGGGAACAACGACGCTCATTGACATTCCGATCGCGCGCGAACGCACGTTCGCGTCGAGGATCGCTTCCGTGCGCGAGAGAGAAAGAGACAGATAGAGAGACTGGGAAAAGGGAGAGACAGAGAAAGAGAGAGCGAGAGGGAGCGCGAAGATTTTTGCGCGCGTCGTCGTCATCGTCGTCGTCGTCGTCGTCGACGACGACGCTCGGACAGACGACCGGAGCAGAGAACAAAGAAGAGGATAGTAGCCAGCGCGGGGGAGAGGGAAGGCGTGCATTTAACAACGAGAACGCACCGCTGGCGGCGTAGCCACCGCTGACGGTCGCGAGAGCGAAAGAGAGAGGAGAAAAGAGGAGAGAAGAGGAGAGGAGAGGAGAGGAGAGGAGAGGAGAGAAGAGGAGAGGAGAGGAGAGAGGAAGAGAGAGGGAGAGAAGGAGACAGAGCGCGAGAAAGAGAGAAATAAAGAAAGGACGGAAGGAAAGAGGAAAGAAAGGACAAAGGACGGAGCAGGCTATCTGGCTGGCTGGTTGGCTGTTTGGTTGGTTGGTTGCTGAGCTAAGTATCTATCTACCTAGCCAGCTAGCTAGTTAACTCGGTTGGTCGATGAGGAATATATACGTAGCGCGCGCGCAAAAAGTCCAGAAATGACAGTATGTTGCCAGCCAACCAGCTAGATATACACAATAACGAGGAGAGGATGCGAATTAGTGGACGACGCCGTCATCGTGGTGATTCTCATCGCGCGTCGTCGTCGTTGTCGTCGTCGTCGTCGTCGTTGTCGTCGTCGTCGTCGTCGTCGCCGTCGTCGTCGTCGTGGCCGTCGTCGTCGTAGTCGTAGTCGTCGTCGTCATCATCGTCGTCATAGCCGTCGTCGTTCTCGTTTTCGTTGTTGTCGCGATAATCGTCGCGCTAGTCGCGAATGCAAACGCGAGACGGCGGCGATGAGGATGCCCGCGGTGACAGCCGCGCTTCGCGGAGGCCAGGGGAGCGAATCAGCTGTTCGCCTCGGCAATGACAACATTGGACACGCACGACCCCCCCGGACGTGTAGCACTTTGACGCGCGTTTCCACGGCCGCGTTTCGGTTCCGCGACGCACCGCGCCGCGACGACGTTGACTTACCTCGAGCCTGGTGCGCCCGGAGTGTATCATCCTTTTACGTCGCGTTATTTTGCAAAACTTCCGGGAGTACCCGCACGATGTGGTCGCGAAAAAAAAAACGTCGCGCGGCCGAGCAAGTCGATGTGCTTCGCGAGAGAAATGGCCGAGTCCTACTGAATGCTCGACGTGCGACGGCGTAGTGGGGACCGCAAAGACAGTGCACCGCCGCTTTCCGTTGGCGCCGCGACGGCCGGCTCGGCGGTTGGCCGCCGACGGTCGACTTGACGACAGCGCGGCCAACCCGCACACTCGCAGCCATTGTTTACACGCTCGCGATTGGATCGTTATTTTCGTGGGAGCGCGTCGGCGACGTGCACCGAGCGCTGCTGCACTGCTGCACCTCGGTGTTGCAACAAATGGGAACCGAGCAGCGTTATTCTGCGCTGTGCCGTGTTGGCGAGTGTCGCGCTTCCGACGGGAGGAATGAACGCGACGGACGAACGGATCGAACGAATACGCGCGAGAGAAAGGGGGACAGAGCGCGCGCGCACGGTCGGTGAGCGAAAATATCGCGGGCAGGCAGCGACGTTATCGACGTCGGATTTGCTGTTACCAAGCGCGCGCGTCTCGCACGTCCCAGATAAACGCGCGGAGTTAAGATCAACGTGTGTTGCTAGGTCCGCTTTGATTCGCACTCGTCGGCTAGAGAGAGACAGAGAGAGAGAGAGAGAGAGAGAGAGAGACAGAGAGAGAGAGAGAGAGAGAGAGAGGGACGCGGCCGGGAAATAACCCCGTTGACCTGGATTCAATTATGGCTTGACCGAAATATTTAATTTACGGACGGGGAAAGGGAGGGTTAGTACTATATTTGCATATGTGTGTGTGTGTGTGTGTGTGTGTTCGATATCGTGGTAGCTGAGTGACACGCGAGATCTCGATGATTCGAACGTCAAGCGTCGCGCGCTAATGAAATCGATCGCGTTCGTCCCTTCGGGCGTTTCGGAGAGCCTCCGGGCGGAGCAGCGACGGATTGAACGATACGTTTGTAATAGGCGCATGAGAGACAAAGCGACGGATAAGTGGCGGAATGCGCGAAACTGCGAGCGATTAAATTGTTCGGCACGAAATCGGGGCATCTTCCGCCCGGGGAATGATATCATCTTCGCGCGGCGCGATTTGATGAAGACATCGCTTAAGATAACCGATGATGAATGGCGCGCGATCAATCGCACGAGATGTTCACGTAAACAACACGCCCGGAAAGTAAGCCCCTGGCGAAATTATCTTCCAGGTACAGTCGTCTCCGTAATTACAGAAAATCTCCGTGCGATCACGCGCTTGGTCTTTCGCTCTGTTTCACGTTCAGACACGCAGTAGATACGTCAACGCGCTCAACTATAGATAATGCTAATCTTATCTCATAATTGTGGGATTTGACGAAACTTGGAGTTACCTGTTTATCGTGGTCTATTAATCGTGTGTCTACGCGTTAGGTCGCTTAAAGGTCGCTTGAAAAAGGAGGATGTGATATCGGTAGCTTCACACTCTGAGATAGTCATTAGCTCCGCGCGGAGATACGCGCTAATCGCGTGTTTCGAACGAATCATCTCATGAAATGTGTGGCTTTTAATACGTTGAAGGAGTAATCATTATATTTAGAAAGTTACATATGCCGAGAACAAGAAAGAAGTATTACGATTAACGACCCTTGGTGTATCATCGGAATTTATTGTATTTAATTTTGACTCAAGTCCTCCTTTTTCGGGACAGTTCTGTTTGCAATATTTGACATTATAATATTTGACTTGTTCTATTTGACTGATATTTCGCGATTTCCACAGAGAGAGAAGATTTATTTATTTTTGCCAATAAAATAAATTAATCCTTTAATTGATAGGTTTAAATGAAATAATGAGCGCAAACAATTCTCGGAGACGGGACTTTGCTATAAACGTATCTCGATATATCGTTAGTTATTTTTTTTTTAATACATCATAAAATACTTTTATTTTTTTAAGGAACACCTTTGATGCAAAATTTATTATGCTATTGTATAAAAATATTATATTTTTTATGAACATATTTAGTTTACAAATAATACGCGAATTAGAATGTATATTCGCTGGCAATTCCGGTAATCTTCGTTAACGGAGATTAACGATTTTAATGTTCGATTAATAATATATATACTTCTAAAGTTCTATCATGCGAGGTTCTTTTCAAAATAATTTTGCATTACATTTAATAGAGCCAGCAACCTCTTTATTATATGGTCGAGCTATTTGATCAGAGAACTTTGCTCACGAAATTTTAGTCGTAGTACGTGCACTTTTATCGTTATCGGTGATACGACGAGTCAGCTCGATACTTATTTCAATTATCGACAACGATAAAAATCATCGTTTTCGTGAAATGACGTGCTCGCTTAATTGTACGGCCTTTGGAGCGGCATATTCCGCGTTTGCTTTGTTACCGCGAAGCGAAACGCTCGTGTCGCTTTTACCCCGCTTTTTTCCTCTTCTTCCTTTCACGAATTCATTTTTTCAATTGATTCAATATATCGCAACTTAAAGGTAAATCGTTGGGATTTAACTCAAATACGTAGATAAAATCGTTGGTTCTATAATTCCGCTTTAAAGATAAAACAAAATTTTAACCCGCGCTGAGCTTTATTATTTAATTAAATTTATCTCTTATAAACGTGAAATGTATTTATTTCAAACAAAAGCCAATATATATTATTTAACATGCACTTGCTGGTTTTGTGGTATTTATTAAAATAGATTTCTAACTTCGTACTACGCGAATTATCGAAAGAGTTTCCTAATTGTAAATTCGCGTTTGTCTCTCTGTGAGAGGCACTCTCTCCATGAAATTAATTAACTCGGCGCTTTTATTTATCACCTGTTATCACATAAATAAATCAAAATCGTAAAAGATCAGTTTATGATAACCTATCGTCGTAAATTTCACGGCATATCGAATAAGATGCATAAAGTATTCGTTCGGCGAATTAAAATCTTTCTTTCTCGAAGAGTGCGTCCAGAACTCACTATCGTGAGAACTCACATTCTCTTTTTATTATCTATCTGAAAATCACGAGATAAAATATTTTATCGACAACAATCAAATATACTACAGCCGTACACGTCATCATCCTTTTTAGTATTACCGTCTTGGTGGATATCGTAATTAATCGTTAGCAAAATTAACACGCGGTTTGACTTCCTTGTTGTCGAATCGGTGTTGAATCATGATACCAATATCGTTATTCGCCTCACGATTCGCTCGTTTTCGCAAAAACGAAACGCTCTCCTCTCAAACTTCGAACAACTCCTGTAATCTCATAATCATAAGAGCGCGAATATATTTGCACGACAAATATCACGATTTTCCTCTAAAAGATTCATTGAATCGCGCAAGCAAGCTCGCTTTATACGATCCTCGTTCTTTTTATTTTTATCGATGTCATGCATTCCACCCGCGAGCAGATTTTACGTCTCGATAACACGGCAATAAGAAGCGCGATTGTCACCAGGCACATTATCTAAACCCGATTTCAAAGCCCCGACACGATAACACGATAATGCATTAAATTCATAGAAGCGCGCGCACACGCGCGGGAAATTTGTATACATAGTATATTCTATTTGTATATACGGGGTGTCCTGAGATCACTCCGAGAAAACACTCGCTTGAAGCTTTCGCCGGCTGATTTCGGTAATTGCATTTGATTGTCAATCGACAACGAGATCAATTCGTCGGCATGAGCACGAAACGAAGGTATTTTTTACAAATTCAGATATGATAATGCGGATGTGATATTGACCGGCGATAAGATGGTGCAAACCGTATAAAAATCGATTGCATGTGATTGCAGCTGTCAGTTATTTGCCGAATGTGATAGGCGTTGACGTGAACGGAACAACCACGACACATTTCCGCGATGAGAGGTGAGCCTACGAAAACGGCGCGACGAGCGAATAACGCATCCACGAGAGCTGACTCCGTCGGTGCTGCAAGTGTAAAATTCGCTAATTGAAACGCTCGTCGGCTGATCGTAGCCGCAAATTTACCTTCGCGTGTTTTCCCGCGCGCGCCTAACTCCCGGGGATTTGTTTCTCTTCCGGTAACGGACCGCTATTATCACGTACATAATGCGAGAAAAATGTTTCGTTGACACGATGCTGTCATCGTTGAAAAGATTCACGACCGATAAAATGTGTTTCTACATATACGTAACGTTACGTGACTGAAACGCACATTTCGACTATCGCGGAGGAAGGTTTCCAAGATGTAGACAAGATTTGAACATTAGCTCTAATTAAACTGAATCCAGGCTTAGAGAGATAGTCTTTTATCATTGGTGTTTGTTCGGGGCGCGCGTTTGTTCAGGGGATAACGAATTTGTATTCGTATCGCTCGGCGGCATCATCGAACTTCAAAGTCAATAACAGTTACTTCTTGCTACGCGACAAAAATAAAGACAATTACTTACTTTTGATCTTGCCAAAAATATGGAAATGTTTTTCAACGCGGATCTCAAATCCTTCGTAAAACGCGACCTGCAGATTCTGTAGAATGAGAGTGAATACAAAAACAAATTTGTAAAAATAATGAAATAAATTTTTTTTAAACGTGTAAGCTTTATATATCATATAGCTATATATCCTCGTTTGTAATATAAATTGTAATTATACATAAAATACCATGTATATAATAATAATGAGTACACACAGTATATATACAGGGTGCTAAATTTCAAACGTAACAGGTGAAAAATCTCAAAAACTCTGAAAGATATTAAAAAAAGCTAAAACACGTGTTCCATGATTTCGAAGGGGAAAGAGAATGGCATTATCAGTTTTTTATTTGGAGGGCATTTTCAAGGTTAGTTGAAGGTCAACTTAATTTTTTAAAATAGAAAGCCCAATTTTTTATTATATCTTCTTTTTCTACCAATTAATTTTAAGAATTTTTGTCTGAAACATCTTTTTATTTGCCTAATATTTTTTGAAATATTTAAGGAAAACTTGGTAACTTCTTCAACATTTAACTTACGATATCTCGCTAACTATTCGTCGAAAGAAAAAATAGTATTAGACTCTATACTTTATTTACTATCAAGAATATATTACTATAATAGCGCCCTAACTTTTGTTAACTTATCGACCTTTGGAAATTTCAAAATTATTAAATTATTAAATATTTCAAAAAATTGGGCTTTCTATATAAAAAAATTAAGTTGGCCTTCAACTGACCTTGAAAATGCCCTCCAAATAAAAAACTGATAATGCCATTCTCTTCCCCCTTCCAAATCATGGAGTACGTGTTTTAGCTTTTTTTAATATCTCCCATAGTTTTCGGGATTTTTTACCTGTTACGTTTGGAATTTAGCACTCTGTATATTATATAATTATGTTACAATATATAATTATATAATATATATTATATAACTATAATATATAAATTATAATATATAAATTATAATATATAACGCATATATTTTTTTTTATTAAAATATATATATATATATTTCTTTTTTTTTTTACTTATATTTATCTCAATATAATATTTATTTATTCTTCTATTCATTTATGCTTCTATTAATACTCATTTAAGTATAAATATTCTATAATTTGCAGAGAATTATTTGGTGCTCATCGCGTTGGTCACCGCGTCGGGGGTGTTTGCGATCGCGAGTGCCGACGATGTCAAGATACCGACCCATTGTCCCGAGAAGGATGCCAAGGACATCACGGTCCGTCTGAGACACGCGTCCGACTGCAGCAGATACTACGAATGTCACCAGAGGAATAAGATCCTGCGAGTCTGCCCGTACAGGAACAAGTACGGCGACAGGCTGCACTTCAATCCCGCTCTGCAAACCTGCGCCTGGCCGGACCTCGCGGTCTGCAAGGACGCCAATTTCAATCTGCCGCGCGTGTGTCCGGGCAAACTCAAAGGTTGCATACGCGTACCGCACGAGACCGACTGCAGCAAGTTCTACCTGTGCGATTATGATCGCGAGGAGGAGGTCACGTGCGCGAAGGGCCTGCACTTCAACCCGGTCAGCCAAATGTGCGATTATCCGAAGAACGCCGGCTGCGAGGCAAGCTGCAAATGGACGTGCTGTCCGCCGAAGGGCTCCGGCGTGCGGCTGCCTCACGAGTGCTCCTGCGCCAAGTACTACGAGTGCGAGGACGGCGAGCAGGTTCTCCGGCGGTGCCGGGATGGCAAGCACTTCGACAACCGGCTGAAACGATGCAGACCCGCCGACGAGGCCGGTTGCATCGTCCGGCCGATGGCACCGCCGAGCGACGCCATCGTCAAGTGTCCCGAAAACGGTATCGACGGCGTCGTCAAGCTTCCTCATGAGAGCGACTGCGGCGAGTACTACGAGTGCGTCGCTGGCGAGATGATCCTAAGAGAATGTCAAGCCGGGTTCAGCTTCAACCCTCGCCACGGGAGCTGCGACTCGCCGCAGGACATCCCGTGCGACGTGAGCCGATGCTGCAGCCCCGAGGCGACTCCGCCAGTGACGTCGCAACCGGTGGACGAGGATCAAGTGAACGTGTTACCCTCGGAAAGGGATCCCGACTGCCCCGCCGAGGGTACCGCCAAGTTACCGTACTCGGAGAACTGTACCCTCTATTTCGTTTGCAACAACGGCTGGAAGACGATTCACAGCTGCCCCGTTGGCTTGTACTTCAACCCGCTCATCAAGGAGTGCGACTGGCCTTTCGATGAAATAGTATGCGAGCCTAAGCCGGCGGATTTGGCGTTATTGCGATCGGGGCTGCCTGCGCATGAGGGTGGCTCGAGCGAGCCTCACTCGAAGACCGACATTTGTTACGGCAAATGCCCGTTCCCCGACCCGAAGGACAGAACGGTGCACTTGCCGGCCAACGACTGCACCAAGTTCTGCAAGTGCAGCAACGGTGTCCCGTACCCGATGAAGTGCCCGAAGGGTTTGCGCTACGACAGGAAGAAGCAGGTCTGCAATTGGAAGTGGGCGGTCAAGTGCGAAGACGATCTCACGAAGGACAAGGCCGCGAATCCGGCGGGCACGAATTGAGCTGCCCCGACGAGGAAACACGTTACCCTCCACCGTCCCGGGATTTTTCCGTCGATCGACATGGCGAACCAGAGCGACGAAGGAAGCGATCGATGCGTCTCGTGCGATCCTTCGACGCGCCTTCGTCTCTCCTCGAAATTCCTACCGCTCTGTTGGCGTACGTGCCAGAAAACATCATGTAATATCCATATGTTTGTAACACGCTTAAGGCGAATGATATTTAAACGAATTATCAAATTGACGAAGATTATCAGTCGATAATGGAGCCACGACACGAGCTGAGCTTCGTGTATTCGCATATTGATTAAAAATATTAATTAGGTTAATCGGAGAATCTGTCTGTTACGTCACACAACTTTCGAGTGACTTTTATGTACGTATAATAATATGTAGAACACAGTTATACGCGTGTGACCTATGTAAAGAAGAAAAAAAAAAGAAAAAAAATACGCACTAATACACGCGCGGAATTGTCGAATTGTGTAGAGATTGTGCGAACTGTGATAAAAAATGTTGGATTGTTCAATCCCCGCGTATTCTCTTTCCACCAATGCCGAATTAATGCGCTTTCAGTTTTACGTCACGTTAGATAACCGCCTCGATGATAACAGCCTCCATCGTCTACATGTACATTCCATTAACTGATAACTCGTCTATTATCCATCTTAATACGAACGAGTCATCGAATCGATCGATCGATCATTATCAGAAACCGCTGGCTCAAATCGCTTAAGAAAAGAAGCCTCGCTCTGCTTTTTTAACATGTATGTGTGCAAAAATACAATGGTTTATCGCGCCGATTATATCTTTGCGAAAACTGCGTGTGAGCACCGGGAGATTTCCCACAAAAAGTTTAATAAACGCGTTTGTACAGCGCCCGTGAGTCACAAAGAAGCTAAGCGTATGATTTAAGTTGGACTCTAATTGGAGATTTCGGAACGTAAGTTCGAGATTTCGAAAAAAATTCGCAAACCCGACGATTTTTAATCTCCGCCTTTTGAAAATTCAAAGCACCAACTACTTCACTTCGCGGAGTTCTAATATTTAATAAAAATCCTCAACGTAATTTCCTCGAGCCTCTAAAGAGCGCTCTCAAGAGCGCGCGCGGTTGGAGTTTCTCACGTTCCTAAAAAAGTCGCTTCCACCGCGAATTTTGAGCGACCGATAGAAAATTCGCGACTCTGGCGAAACCAACGAGGATCCCGCGCGGAACGTATTTTCAGGGAGGACGCGAGTCGTTTATACATCTTACTAAATCGACACCCCGTATCTAAATCGCCACATTGTACGTTTGACGTTTCGATATACTTAAGCGATTTCTAAGAGGAGAGTTTTGTCATGGCTAGATATGATAAAATGTACGATATTACGAGGCGATAACGCCCCCTTCTATCCCTGCTGTGCGCTTATAAAAAACATTTCGCACTTGCACGCTCGTCAGTTCGCAATTTGATAAGTGGCGGCAATAAGATCCCAGTCTTTACGATCTAGTGATTGGGCAGGATGAAAGGTGAGTGAACGCTACCACTTGCGGAACTCTCGGAAAGCGAACGAAAGTGATGAAGCGGCGGCGATCGGGGCAACGACTGAGACGCATCAGGACAATCCTAATCCTGAACCGTCGGATGTGGTGAACGTGCGCCGCCGCGAAAAGGAGCGAGAATTTCACGTAGTGCGAGTAATCGTTGTCGATCGTGCACGACGAGAAGGGACGCGAGATAATAACGACACACGCGTACTCGTTCTTTCTCTTCCCTTCTCTCTTTCTCTCTCTCTCTCTCTCTCTCTCTCTCTCTCTCTCTCTGTCTCTCTCTTTCTCACTCTTTTTCTCATATGCGTATACACATGCGAAAAAACGTTTAGAATGTTTCAATAAATTGCTGCACGCACACTTATAGATTATTTTTCCCACGTGCGTTTGATTATAGACTAAATCGAAGACATAATTCGTGAAAGATATCAAGAAATGATGGACTTGTTGAATTAACACATTTTTGTGTGTGTGTGTGTGTGTGTGTGTGTTAAATTGTTACAAACATTAATTCAAAACATTATATAACAATAAATATAAATATCGAAGAAAATGTCACGCACGCATGTACACGCACACATACACACACATATATTAACGATCTAATCAGCGAATCGGTCACTCGAGTAATTAACTTTAGGGATCTCACATCTTGAATATTCCTTTTTAGAGATCTACACAGTGGCAGTTTTATTCGTGGCCACTTTAGTCGCTTTTACATTCGGCCAGGAAATCCCGACAAAATGTCCCAAAGTCGATTCGGTACGCACCACAGTTCACCTCGCTCACGAGAGTGACTGCACGAAATTCTACATGTGCCAAATGGGCCGGAAGATAGGACCGATGAACTGCCCCTACATGGATAAAGACGGAAGTAGGTTGCACTTCAACCCACGGCTACAGGTGTGCGATTGGCCGTATCGTGCGGGCTGTAAGAATGGCAAATCATCCACCACTACGTCTACGACCACTACGTCTACGGAACCAACAACTACAACTACAACTACAACTGCAGAACCGAGTACACCATCAACGATACCTACTTGGTCTATAACACCAGATACATCTACCAGCAGCGACGATTCTATCATAACGATCACTCTCACGCCATCGACCAAGAAAGCTACATACAATCCGCCGATACGAACCATCACCCCAGCACCACTAACAACAACGAAACCGACGAAACGGATGACAACAACGAAACCGACGAAACGGACGACAACAACGACGACGACGACGACACCCAAGACGCCATCGGGAGAAACCTGTCCCAAAGATACCGGTGGCAAAACCATCAAGATACGTCATGAAACCAGATGCGAATCCTACTACTTGTGCACCGATGGTGAGAAGGTCATGCAAACATGCCGAAGCGGAACCGCTTTCAACCCGTTGATTAAGAACTGCGACCACAAGGAGAACGTGGACTGCTCCGGCATTACGATCATGCCTACCGTCAAACCCACACCGAACAAGTGCCCGCCAAAGGGCTCGAGCAAGAGGGCAATGTTGCCTCACGAGTGCCAATGCGACAAGTACTACGAATGTCGTGATGGCGACATGATTCTGAGAAAATGTCCGTCGGGTATGCATTATGACTACATTCGAGAGATATGCGATCTTCCGAAGTTAGTGAATTGTGTTCGACCTATCCCCACGACGATGGTGATGTCTGTTCCTACGACTGTCAGCTATGACGAGTGCTCCAGCGAAAACGAGGGCCAGAGATATCAAGACGAATCCAGCTGCACCACTTACTACGAGTGCGTGAATAAGCAGAAGGTCCTGAAATACTGCGCGCCGGGCCTCCACTTCAACGTCACCCTGCAGTTGTGCGAGTACCCGGAGAAGGAATGCGCGATAATCACTCCGACTTCACCCGGGACCTCTACAACGAGGATAACCGTCACGACTGAGTCCACATCGACGAATGCATGCCCGCCGAAAGGCTCGAAGAAGGAAGTACGATTGCCACACGAATGCTTCTGCTCGGATTACTATGAGTGCGACGATGGATTACAGGTTCGTAAAAGTTGCCCGAGCGGTCTGAATTACGATTACATTTGGGAAATTTGCGACGAGCCGACCGTGGTCATATGCGACCTACCCACCTTTCCGACGGATATCACCGCGAACACTACTACCGCCGCCACTTCTTCGGGGAAAACGAAAGGCACGTCATCATCCGCGTCAGAGAACACCGCCAGAGACACGACATCTAGCCTAGACGACACAACCGGCACGACACCCGCTATTACATTCCCCGTTACAACTTCTTCACCTATCACTCCTATGCCAGGTCTTTGCCCACCTAAAGGTTCCACGGAGAAGGTACTGTTGCCTCACGAGTGTTCTTGCACAGATTACTACGAGTGCGTGGACGGGTTCGTGATCCGTCGACGTTGTCCGAGCGGTCTGCATTTCGATTATGTTCGGCAGGTGTGCGATCTGCCGTACATAGTGAAATGCGTGAGACCCATCCCCCCGACTACGTCTACAAAGTACAACACTGACACGACGACAGGCATTACATACAGTACGTCTCAAATTACTTCTCAAAGCACGACTGCAGCCACGACGGGCACCACCTCCCGTGCTACAACTACTATCGTTCCAACTACCTCCACGCAGGAAACCATCACTCCTACGCAGATAACTACTAGCACTACACAGGGAACCAACACTCCTACGCAAAGAACTACTACTACTACACAGGGAACCACTACCACTACATCAGGAACCAGTACCCTTAGGTGGATAACTACTACCTCTAGACAAGGAACCAGCACTTCTAAGCAGTTTACTACCACTACACAGGGAACTATCACTCCTACCACTACACTAGGAACGAGTACCCCTACGTGGATAACTACTACCACTAGACAAGGAACCAGCACACCTAAACAGTTTACTACCACTACACAGGGAACTACCACTCCTACCACTACACTAGGAACCAGTACCCCTACGTGGATAACTACTACCACTAGACAAGGAACCAGTACCCCTACGTGGATAACTACTACCACTAGACAAGGAACCAGCACACCTAAACAGTTTACTACCACTACACAGTTTACTACCACTACACAGGGAACTACCACTCCTACCACTACACTAGGAACCAGTACCCCTACGTGGATAACTACTACGACTAGACAAGGAACCAGTACATCTAAACAGTTTACTACCACTACACAGGGAACTACCACTCCTACCACTACACTAGGAACGAGTACCCCTACGTGGATAACTACTACCACTAGACAAGGAACCAGCACACCTAAACAGTTTACTACCACTACACAGGGAACTACCACTACACTAGGAACCAGTACCCCTACGTGGATAACTACTACCACTAGACAAGGAACCAGCACACCTAAACAGTTTACTACCACTACACAGGGAACTACCACTACACTAGGAACCAGTACCCCTACGTGGATAACTACTACGACTAGACACGGAACCAGTACATCTAAACAGTTTACTACCACTACACAGGGAACTACCACTCCTACGCAAACAACTACTACCACTACGCAGGAAACCATCACCCCTACGCGGACAACTAGCACAAAAAGTTCTATCCCTACATATAAAACTACCACGACGGAGGCGACGGAAACACCTACACGGCAAACAACTACCCCCACTACCACGGTGATGACAGAAAAACCCACAAGTACTACACAAAGTAGCAGAGGCCCCACGACAGATTCCACTACTATCTGGACCACTACCACTAGCTCTATACCAAGCACTTGTCCACCCAAAGGTTCCACCGAGAAAGTACTGTTGCCACACGAATGCCTCTGCACAGATTATTACGAGTGCATGGACGGACTAGAGATCCACCGACACTGCCCCATAGGTCTACATTTCGATTACGTTCGACAAACATGCGACGAGCCGGAAATAGCGAAATGCGTGAGACGTCCCATCCCTTCGACGACGACCGCGGGCACCACCACCACCTACACAGAAACAACTACTTGTGGGATGCCAAGTTTCACACATGATATAGCCGACACATACACTTCCATACAGAACGTTTGCCCACCGAAAGGCTCCACGGAGAAAATAGAGTGGGCTCACGAGTGCTCTTGCAAACAATATTATGAATGCTTTGACGGATTACAGGTTATTCGCAAATGCCCGCCTGGACAACATTACGATTACGTTCATCAAACCTGCGGCGACCCAAAGGTAGTCAACTGCGTTCGTCCAATTCCCCCGCCGACGAGACCCACCACGCCACCCGTTATCAATGACGGCGAATGTCCGCACGACGACACGAAGATAGTCAAATTCCCGCACAAGACCGATTGCAGATTGTACTATCAGTGTATGGACGGCAAGAAGGTCCTGAAGAGTTGCAGGTATGGTCACGTGTTCAATCCGTTGCTGGGCACCTGCGACTTCCCGGAGAATGTGAAAGGGTGCGGATCAACATACAAGGAGCCCAATACAGATTTCACCGCGGAGTCCACCAACACTTGCCCACCCGCAGGCTCCCCGGAGGAACGGAAGCTGCCGCACGAGTGCGAATGCACCAAATACTACGTCTGCTACAACGGTGAAATGGTTCTCCAAGTGTGCCCCGCGGGCTTGCACTACGACTACAAGTATGCTACATGCGACAAGCCCGAGAACGTGCATTGCGTCCGACCGACTTCCAATCCCACGAAGCTACCTGACATCAACGTATCGCCAGCCCTGTTGTGGTGCGCCAACAAGCCCGACGATACTCAAGTGCCCCACGAGTTCGACTGCTCGAGCTACTACATGTGCAAGAACGGTCACACGATTCTGAAGAGATGTCGCAATGGTCTGCATTACAACCCGCTTATCGGCGTCTGCGACTTCCCGAATAACGTAAACTGTAGCAGCAGTGGCAAGTCCGACTTATACAAATGTCCTGAGACAGGAGTCGGCAAAGTCCCTCATGAGAAGGACTGCAAGTTATATTACGACTGCTACGACGGTGAGAAAACCCTGCGTAAGTGCCGGCATGACTTGCACTTTAACCCTATTTTAAAGGTCTGCGACTTTCCGGAGAATTATCCCTGTGAAGAGGGCGAGATCGTAAACATGGCGAAAATACATGAAGAGACTGGCTGCATAGGCAGATGCCCTTGGCAAGACCCGACCAACTACACAGTCCTGATCCCGAACACGGACTGCCACAAGTTCTGCATGTGCAGTAACGGTGTACCATACGTGCAGAGCTGTCCCGATAAGTTGCAGTTCGACTACGTCAGACAGGTCTGCGACTACCCGCACAAAGTCACCTGCAAGATACCCCCGCAACAAGAGCTCGAGACCGAAGAAGTGGCCAAGAACGAGGACGTGGGCAAGGGAGACGATTTGCTGAACAACGAGAAAGAGAACGACAAGAAGGAGACCGAAGAGACGCGCGGAAGTTCCTGGTTTAGGCTGCCCATCTTCAACCGGTACATTTGAAGAGTCCTGAGTCCAGCGCTACCGCCTTTTTATCCGCTTGTACAACGTAGCCGTTTATTAACGCGAGTCAGCTTTAACGAAACCTATTCTAAAGATTTATTCGCTCAAATGCCGAATGAAAAGTAATTTTTGCTCATCGATAGTTATTTATTTGTAGGATAGTAAGCTATACCTTAATCCAACAGTGTCCAACACCGTATTGTAACTTATTGAATAAAGAGACATTGTTCATTTTTCAACGATTCCACTGTGCGTTGCGCCGCGAGTCGGCCGATACTGTCTCATTTCCTTCGCGATGTAAGTTACTAATCTTCCGCATCTCCGGAAGATCGCAGATCTCGATAGCGTTTGATATCCTCACCGACGATTGTCCGATAGTTCACTCGAGAGCTCTTCGTAACTGATAAAAGTCTCTTCAAACGCCTCGGGTGTGCGTGTTCTCTCGCACAATCTGACACGAAATATTTTTCAACGCTCTTGAGTGTCACACTCAAGTCGCGACATTAGAGGGAAATTCTCGGCTCGGATACTCCGAATACTCGAAAATATAATTTGCATCGGCGATGGATAGCTTTGATAAGAGACACGAGTTCGAGATATGTATTAATGCACCATCGCTCTGATGTCGCGCGTGCTTGGACTTTATTGCATCACGGGGAAATCTAACCGCAATTCAGTCCGGCGTGCATCGGACCTCGTCGCAAAACAAACGACGGTCATCCCTTTGTCGTCAGAGTATAGTTCGTCGTAGATGTATAATTCGATTTAATTTTATTATGCTCCGTAATGTTAACAAAAGAATTTACATACAATATTAAAGGGGGAGGGTTACAATCGTGCTATCTAGGCTCGTATCACGCAATTAGTAGAACTCGACTTATCTCGAGCGTCATCGGTCAGACACCGAGAGAGAGGGAGAGAGAGAGAGAGAGAGAGAGAGAGAGAGAAAAGAGAGAGAGAGAGAGAGAGAGAGAGAGAAAGAGAGAATCGTTTCCTGATCATGAACAAACGCGTAACCTTCATCACGCTTCCGCCGTCGTCTGCCCCTCTCTTTCTCCTTCTCTCGTTATTCTTCTTAACTAACCTCTTATTCCGTCTTATTCCGTACGCTTCGTATATGCGATTATCCTTCGATCAGACACAGACCCGCGACGCGACGCGAAATCAAGTCGCGACAAGGAAGAAAAGCAACGAGTCAATTCAACATCGACAGGGGAGAGGATTTGTGCTCGACGATTGTGCTCGGAATGGTAGGAGGACTTTGGTATATTTCTCTTCTTTTTTTCTTTCCTTTTTTTCCCTTCCCTCGGTGACTCGCGAAATTAGAGACGCTACGCGGGGGCCGTTTTACTGTACATCGTCGTAGTAGTATCTGCCGGCCACGTCCAGGAGGTATCCGGGTCTTGCGGCGACGCGCGACGCGTGTCTGTCGGCGTCCAAGCCGTGATAGTCGCGGTACGCGATTTCCTGCTCGTTGGTCGTCGGCTTGTTCTTGCCCAGCCTGCGCTGCTGATTCTGCCGTTGCGCGTCCAGGATCGTCTTCAGGGTCTCCCAAGTGGCGTTCAATTCCAATGTCCGAGGCGCCGCGTCACCGCTGCGCTTGCCGTATCTGCACGCGATATTTAATCAGCACTTTTAATTAACAGACACGACCGCCCTGACTCCTAGCGCAGCTAGGAGGATTCTATCGCGTGCGAGCGTGTACGACTATGCCGAATCCCGCACTCGAAACTTTTATACTTCGATCATCCGAACTGCCTCTCGGCGCTCTTCCGTTTCTTTTTAAACATCGACTCGAGCAAGCTAGACTTTTCGGTACGCAGCTTCTCAGCATAATAATGATGCAACAAGCGCCATATTGACGACGATTTTACGTAAAACTTTAAGTGATCTGAAGCCTCTTCGGATTGTCTACAGTCGTCAAGTGTCACGTGTTAAATTGGCAATTATTTGTGTATATTTTTCTCCGACAGGAATATCTTCGACAACTCGTGACGTATCGCGAAAAGACGATTGCACGCTATCGTTACCTTGCCCTTCTCAAGGAGTAATAGTCTCGGACAAGGTCAAAGTAACGCTCCAGCTCTTCGGGGCTCGCGATCGCCTTCGGTCTGGTCGGTCGAGCCATCGGCTCCGGCTCGGCGTAGGCGTTCGTCGTCCCGACGACGGCGACCAAGAAGAGGCAGCCGAGGAAACGAACCAGGCTCATTCGCGTCCACATTTCGCACGGCTTGAGGTAGTGGTGCTTTCGGTTGCTGCAAACAAGACACGAGCGAGCTGGTAACGGCGAGCTTGTCGCCGTCACGTGGGCGGCAACGAGAAGCGCCTAACGCGCGAGGGAGGCAGACCCCCTCGCGGCTCGAAACTTTTACGCCTGCGATCATCCCTTTTCCTCGTCCCTTTCCTCGCGGTGACGCAACTTGCCGTCGTGTACGATACGCGGAGCCATCGGAGCAAGACAATCGCAAGTTTCCCGATGCCGTAATACCGTCCCGAAAGTGGTAAGAAACTTCTATCTCCGCGGATGATCGAGTACGACGTGACGGCTCTCGAAAGTCGCAGAGAGAAAGAGCGGCGGGGGTGGTCGAGCACGAGCGATAATTAGCGCGATTTGATACAACGTCGTTGCGTACGCCCTCCTCTTTCTCCCTCACTCCCCTTTTTTCCTCTTTTTTTCCCGATAGAAAGCGGTCTCGCGAGAAAGCAGTCGGGAGATTCCTCCCAGGAAATTGTTGTCGGGAAACGCTTCGTTCCCTGGCAACAAAGCGGGCCGGATATCGTGGCTTAAGTTGAAAGAGAGTTTTGCGTACCTGCGTGATTTTTCGCCGCGATTCAAATCGAAAATTCGCCGAATTATTCGTGACGGTGCGAACAATCAAAGTGGCATTATCGTGTTTGCGACGAGACGGAGACGGGCGTGAGAATCAAGGAGGCGCCGGCAGAGGGAAATTTCAGGCGCCGGGCCGAGCAAAATTCGTGGGCGAAAGTGAGAAACCGAAGCTGAGAGTTACCTGTTGCGTCATGACGGATAAGCTTATCGATAACGGGCTATCAGAGCGAAGGATACGCAAGGAAGGAAGGGCTGTATATATACCGAAGATACCATTCGAAATCGAATGTCAGAGTATCGCTATCTCTTTCCGCGCCTAATAATATGTCTCGCATCTTCTCCACGCACAAACGTATATACTCATATTGGACACCGAAACTTCAACTTGTCAACGTGAGTATGATCGAGCGCCGATATGCCGTAAATATCAGATACGAAATTAATTCGAGGCGCACGCCGGTGGGCGTCAATCATTATTTTCTTTTTTCGTAGCGCGAAAGAACGAATCGAACGAGAGAGAGAGAGAGAGAGAGAGAGAGAGAGTTTGTGCACCTGAACGCTTTGAAATTGGATATCGTACAGACGCAGCTCTGATCGACTGCAAGATATTTTCTATTTCTTCCATTGTGCTAGGCGCTCTTAAATTTCAATGCATTTCTCCGGCGCTCCTTGAAACGGAATGCCTCGCGATCAATCGTAATACTTTATCCTGGACGGATGAACTTACGTGTCTTTTTCTTTTCTCTCTTCGTCCCTTTTTTTCTCTTTAAGGTACACCCCGTAAACTTTGAACGTCGAGCGACGCGAATCACCGGGTGCAACGGAGATTTCGTCAGGAAGAATGTTAGAATTTTAATTTTTCTACGCGGCATGTACATGTGTATGTGTGTGTGTGTGTGTGTGTGTGTGTATAGATTCCGGCAACGTGATTTCCCGTATACTTCGCATACTTCGCGTTTTTCGGAGAAATGCGGGACGATGAATTCTGCCGCTGCATTAATACCCGCGAGAAGCGGGTAATTTACTAGGAATCGCGATGTAAACGCGATCTATTGTGATCGTGAATCTTGAGATATCAAGTACACGGTGTTTAACACCCGCGGAAATAATCATTATTTTACGAAAAATTTCCGGAGAAATGTTCAATAGCGAAAGAATGTACGGAATACAAAATCGTCCATAGTTGGACGTAAAATTCAACTCGAGAGATGCAAGGTTATCATTTATTTGCACGGAGGAGAAACCGAATATTTTTAAGCGTCATCTGTCGAGCCAATTCGAATCTGCCGCAATTTATCGCGGTGATTGTTTTGTAATTCGAATCGATAAATCAACATGATCGCGCGACTATATCTCGATATAATAAAAAAGTCTGCACTAAATACAATAAAAACCGCATCGTGCGACGATTCGGGAATGAGATAACGTGTTCATCTTTATTTAAGCGTTCACTGTGTAACTTGTGAATTGCCTCCGTTGCGGAGGGAGAGCCAAAGTGGATCAATGTCACAAATGACTGAAATACTCGACGAGACAATGACCGCCGTATGTAGTTTACTTTATAATTGGGAGTAGCACGCGCGCCTCTTTTGCGACAGCGCTCCGCATTCACTCGCTATCGCGACTGATAAATTCGGATTTAAAAAACGCCGCTCCAGTTCTGCCGATCACCGTGTATTTCGAGCTCGAGGTCCATAAAGAGATAACACCGTCGCGGCGAGACCGAATTTAGGAAAATTTCGGCGAGCTCGCGCCGAGCGAAGCTACATTTTCACTCGGTCGGCCGGCGATCGCTGCTTCACAATCTCGCGCTTCTTTCGCCCTTCCGTTCCCATATACGTATAATTCGGAGAAAAATCCGAAACACGCACTCGAGAATATTTTCGTGCGCGTCAGTAACAATCTTTCTTCGATCGCATGGAACAACAACAGCTGCCCCAACGGCAGCCACGGATAAATAAATGAAGGTCGACGAAGCGAACGCGCCGATACGAGAGACGCAGCAGATCGCGAACGCGGAGGCGCCGATAACGACTCGCGGGGATGTTGGATAGTCGGTCGGTCGGTCGGTCGTAGCAGCAACTAAGTGAAAATACCTGTCATTGTTTGTCGACGTTGCACAACGGTAAGACTACATCATCAGTTATACGGCGTGAATACAACTCGTCTCACAATGAGGCGCGCAGCTATAGCCTCAATTTCGATAGCGTCACTGTGCCGACATGCCGCGATGACGAAGACCGGGTTGTAGGCCGTTAGCGTGGGATTTTCACAAGTTGCGAATCTCACAGGCCGCGCAATGCAAGTGCGACGTGACGAGATCGCCTCGGCGAGAGACGATAATGAGATCGTCGTTCGGTATCTAAGCGCGGGGCGGCATTCTTTGGAGTCGCGCGCCATAAAAGCGCGCTTTCACGTCAATGTAACCGTGAAAGATGCCGCGTACAATCGCGACGGAGCTCGCGATTGCCCGAGCCTCCCCCGCGAGGGATCATCGTCTCTTCAATATCGCGATTTTACGCCGAGAACTTTAACGTTATTTGACTTACCAACGCCTTACTAACCTTCGCTCTTCAATATCGCGATTTTACGCCGAGAACTTTAACGTTATTTGACTTACCAACGCCTTACTAACCTTCGCCGTTAAAGACATATAAATCGCACCTATCGATTGCTCATCTCTCTCTCTCTCTCTCTCTCTCTCTCTGTCTCTCTCTCCCGGCGCTTAATGGACTCGCGGGCTACTTTGAAGCAGTCCGCCAGGGCTCTCAATAACGTTCGCCGCGCTATAGATTAGAGGAAGAGTCGAGATTGTCTTCGGGGGTTAACGCGTAATTAATCCGTGCCTTTACGACGTCGATATCGAGTTTTATCGTTCGTATTAAGAAGCGATATAACGCTGCCGGTGGCTCCGCGCAGAATTTATGTTGCGGCGTGACGGCACATCGGAGACTCGCGTTTTTCCGCCGCGTCCTCGTCGCCGGCAACACTTTCCCGATTATACGCGGCTAATCTCGCTCCTAGGTCGCCGCCGCCGCCGCTGCCGCGCATTATTACACGATTGAATCACGTACGTGTCAGCAGGTGCGCGTTGCGACACACACGACGCATGGTGACACCGCCGCGGCCGTCGCAGCGGAAATTGAAACGCCGCTGTGCCGCACACGATATCGCCAATTAAAGATCAATAGCGCAAGGTAAAGATCAAGTGACCACGGCTGTCGAGAATGTCACCGTCACCGTCACCGTCACCGTCACCGTGCGATAATTTTCACGCGTACGCTGGCCGAGCAAAGTTCTCCTCTCGAGAGGTCCAACTAGTCACTCACCGCTCCGATAACGCCGTGGAAAAATCACCAGGCTCTTCTATTGCGTTATATAATAATATAAGGCCACCGCCGAGCGACTTTCGAATCTCGTCGATCACGTCACGAGGCGCAAAACCGCGAGCCGCAAGTGAGCTCTCTGAAAGGCCGCGGAGGCGCGCACCAATTCATCCCCTTTCCTCCGGTGGAAACTTTTGCCGCCCCTTCCCGCCGTCGCCGAGTCACCGACTTTTAATTCATCGCGTTTCCTCGGCAAACAGTATCGGGACATCGCGCGTGTCGTCGATCGAGAGAACTTGCCCGAGAGAGCGCGATAAAGCCGCACCGAACGATCTATTCGCGGCGCGATATCTTCGGATCGAAATGAATTACACGGCCTTTACTGGCGTCTAAAGCAACGATATTGCCCGTCCGCCGCCTGCTGTGGTTCGCGTTCTCTCTCGTAGCGCGAGACTCTTCGTTCATAAAGTCCACGAACATGCCGAATCGGGCCATCTTGTCGCCTGGCATCGTCGCAACGAGCGGAGCGCGCTTAAGAGAATACACATCGTTAGTTGCGAGACCGCCTACGCGAGAGGCGAAATCTGTTTGAGCAATCGACAAAATTCCATCGCAAAATTAACGCGTCACCCTCCTCTCTCTCCTCCCCGAGACGCGTCTCGACGTTTGAAGCGTTTAGCGCGACGAAATCAGCGGTGTACCCGCGCTAATTTGCGTTAATTAGAGCAACGCGTTCTTTATCGGCGGAAGACAGAGAGAGAGAGAGAGAGAGAGAGAGAGAGAGAGAGAGAGAGAGGTGGAGACGCGACTCGAGAGATAAAAATTTAATAACGCGGCCGAGGACAACAACGCGGGCCGCGTTAATTACATCGGAGTTTCGGTGTGACGTTGACCGATGAATAAGAATGTGCGAAACGTCCTTCCGTCTTACGCAGGGTAGTTTGCGAAGATGTACGCGGCACGATCCCCAGCGGTCGATATTCAAGTTTCTCCACGCGGCTCGTTCCTTTCTTATCCTCCCCGTGAATTCTCGATACGACTCGTTGCGACGCTGATTGCTGATACATTTCCAGGCGAACGGGAATATTCTTTAAATTAC